GTAGCATATCGAGCGATTCATCGATTTTCCAAAATAGCAAACCAAATTTAAATGATTTTCAGATGATACTGTGTCACTTCGGTAATTAAAAAATTGTGTGATTTTGGAAATTTTATATATTCAGCCCGAGATCTTGCTTTAGACAAGTTAGTTTATCGAATTCGCTTATTGCAGTTAAATCACACCATTTATTTTGCGGGAATTATTATTTTTACTCGTTAGGCAAAAAAAAAAAAAGGAAACTGGAATAATGGTTTAGGATACTATACATTTTTCGCAATTAAATAGTAAATTTATACGAGAAAACTTACTGGATATATAACAAACTAGCATATCGGCAAGTTTCTTTGGTAGCATATATTAAAGGTGCACCTACTTTCCTCGAGAAACCTTACTGAGACATATATTGAAATACGTATGAAACGATGCCTCGATTTGCCTCTAATTTGAGAATGTCGTCGTGAATCTTGGTAAGATCATCACCGCCAGTGAAATGATCCCAGCTATAAAAAAAGACATGAATAAGCGTTGACCCAAAAAAGGTAACGTGTAATGATAACTCACGTGTTCGTGTCACCGTAAGTCATACTTTCTCCGGGCCTCGTTTGTACACCATTCTCACATTTAAGGCATTTAAAAGTGCTGTGTGTATCACACATAGTATCCGGATCAAAAAGAAATAGACGCTTCAACGATTCAAACGTGAAGTATCTTTCAACATCTTCTTCCTCATCAACAACACAGGAAGATAGAGATTGCTTGTGTGATTGCCTTTGAAAAATTTTCTCCTCGATAGTTCCAGTTGAAATGAACCTATATATAAAGCCTTTGTCATAAAACAAGTTAATGGTATTTCTTAAGGAAGCAAGATTTAAGCAGATTATAATAATATTATACATATTTCGTACATTCTTTCTTCTGTCCATCCCTCCAAACACGTGCCAAAGCCTATGCAGAAATGCGATTAGTAAAGTCAAAGAAATTGATGACAAGCTTTCTTTACCTGTTGATCAGATGCGGGATTCCAATCTAATACGTAATTAATAATTAAATTCTGAAATATGTATGCGATGAAAACAACCCATTTCGTGAGTATTATGAATGTTACATACCAGGATCGAATAAAACTAGGCGGTTAGCGCCGATGAGATTTAAGCCGCATCCACCAGCTTTGCTGCTCAATAGAAAAACAAACTCGGGGCTGTGTGGATCGTTAAATCTGGTAACAAGAGTCTGTCGCTTTTTTATTGGCATAGATCCGTCAAGACGCAAACAACCGTATCTTTAGTATGCGTATAAATCAAGAATTACCATTAAAAGCACTCGTTATTCTGACAATGATAACTCCAATGAATTGTGAAAAATCATTACTTTTTGGATCTACACAACTGTTCGAAAAGATCCAATGTTTGAGTATAGTTAGAGATCAATACAATCTTGTCATTTGTCTCTTTTTTGATCTTTTCCAACATTCTAAGATCGTTAAATCATTAGTCAGGTCTGTACATTCTTAAAAAACTGGAGAAAGAATTTTGTGCGAACCTATCCAACACAAGCATTTTCCCTGAAAGCTCTGGTCGGAATAATCTTCTCCTATCCCTTGATGAGTAATTTGCTGGAAAACAATCTTTGGACCCTTTAAGTTCGTTGGTAAGATTGAGTAGGTCCGGATGATTGCATAATTTCTTAAGAAAAGTAATAGCTGTTGAATTGCTCGATATTAGAATTTTCGATTGATAAAAGCATGCTATACGAGAAACACTAATAGTCACCTTTAAGTGGTTGTGACATAGTGCCTCGAAGAAGTCCTTGAATATCAGATGAACCAAGGAATTTATTGTACAGAGACACTTGAAATTCACTCAAACGACAGAATACTACATGCTCGAACTTAACAGGCACTAGAATGAATTGAGATTACGTTGCATGGAGTTTTAATATAATAGTAAAAGTAAAGTTTAAGATAACAAAGTTATAAACATACAATATTTAGACAAAATGTCATTGTTCCTTCTGATTATAAATTTGCTCACAACATCCAATAGTTCACCTAGCTTTTGATCACTAATTTCCCTTTCTTTTTCGGAAGCATTAGCGTCGCGCCCACGGAGAATGGGATTTTCGTAATTTCGGCGAAATTCATTGGGAGTTCCAAGAAGTCCAGGATTGGCAAAGTTCAAAAGTGAAAAATATTCTGATAAATCATTCTGTAAGTTTTATAGAAATCAATTAGAAACCATGCACCAAAATATAAATCAATGCAGGAGAATTTATCTTCACCTGTATTGGTGTACCGGATAGAATAACTCTTCTCTGAACCTGAAGTGAATTTAATGCCACGAATAATTGCGAATCTGAACGGTTTTGATTAAATAGTTTTGTGTTAAGATTTTATTTCACTAATTTGTGAACAGTGAAATTATTCATACTTGAATTCTTGAGTCGATGTCCTTCATCGCACAATAGCAAGCCAATTTTTGTGTTCTTTAACACTTCAATATTAGTTCGAAGTGACTCGTACGAAATAATTAAAACTTATAGAAAAAAGTACATAAATAATCTGTTTGAATGTAGTCATTAACTCATGCGTTTTATGTATTTATGCACGTACCAGGTTGGGCGATCAATCGACCTTGAGCACCGGCGAAATATCTGAGCGCTTTCAACGTGTTCTCTTTTGATCCTTTGTTGTCCATTACCAA